AGCCATGGTGGGAGGTGCATGGCTAGCTCCCAGGGATCTGCACTCCCGGCTGTGGGGGGCAGCATGGGTCCAGGGTCCCGGCCACAGGATGCAGGGCAGGCGTAGTTCTCAGGGTGTGCCCGCTGGGCTCACTCTGCTGCGTGTAGCTGAAGCTGGCTCCCTGAAACCGGATCCTGATTTGGGGAGAACATCAGTGGTTAGAAAGCCAGGGAAGAAGCAGGGCTCGTCAGTGCAGACAGATTTGGGTCAGCAGTCTCAGGGTGGAAAGTCAGCCCCGGAGTTCCATTGAGAGTAAGCGGATATGGCAGAAAACCCAGGGGTCGAAGCCAGTGGTGAATTCGCATTTGCTGGCGATGCTAATGCAGTGGTGGATGTGCACTGAGCCTCCGCTCCTGGGCCTGTGCAGAACATCCCTCACGCACGTGTCTCGCGTGCTCCCCCCGCCGCTCCACAGACTAAGTGCTCTGGTCATCCCCTCTGCAGAGGGGGGACTGAGACACAGAGAAGCAGCGACGCACGCAGGTGCCTCGGTCACACGCAGGGCGTCATGGTGGGAGATGCACTGCTCAAGGAACTAGCTGCACCCCGAGGGCCGGAGTGAATATGCAGTCGGGGGCCTCCCAGCCTGGCCTGGGAGGGGCCAGCATCCTGGGGGACCATAGCACTGGGAGTCGAGGGCAGGTCCACGGAGGCGAGACTGTCGGGCTGAGAGGGCTCATGGATGCTCGTGCCCAGCCCCAGTGCTCTGTGGCTGAGAGTTGTTGTTTTAAGTAAAGCCCAAGTGGACAGGCTGGTCCTTTGGGAAGAACGTCCAGCCATGCTGTGACGGAGCCATGCTGTGACGGAGGCATGCTGTGCAGGGCGGCCTTGGGCCCAGAGGGGTGGCTGTCAGCCTGACGAGTGCCCAGGGAAGCCCGTGTCAGTGCCCATGAGGGTGGTGCCCACCCCACGCGTCCCAGTTGGTGCCACTGTGAGCTCAGGCAAGGCTGGCTCGTGCCGCCTGGTGCAGCGCTGGTCCAGGCCCAGGCTCTGCCTCCCTAGCTGTGCCGTAGCCCCAGCGCGTCCACCTGGCCCGGCGTCCACCTGCTCGGCTGTGGCACAGTCCGTGATGCGGCTGTTGGGATGGTGAGGTGGGGAGTGCCTTTCGTTCTTCCTGGCCCGGTGCAGGTGCTGTGCAGGTGTCCCGACAGGGCCAGACGAGAGGGTGGCTCATGGATTGCAGCGGTGGGTGACCGCCTGGGCCCTCTCTCCCACCTGCTGAGGTCCCTCCTGCCCTTGGGGAACACAGACGTCGTCCTTCGTTTGTGGAGGAGGCTCTGACAGGCCGGGAAGCTGGCGCAGGCCGTAGTGTGCGGGCTCCTGTGGCTCAGGCACGTCTCTCCCACCTGGTTTTGAGGTGCCAGCACTGCTATGGTGTCCCAGCAAGAAGCCTGCCTGCCGGGCGCCCAGGCCTGCCCGGAGCCCAGTGTCCTCCTTGCTCTGCTGTGGTCTGGTTTCTGTGGAGTCCACGCTTTAGGTGTCGGCTTCCTCTGTGTGGAGCTGCTACTTTTGGATCTTTGCATCATTTTGGAGATCTGCAGGATTAGAGTCAAACGTTCGAGGAGTTCGGTATAACTTGGATATTATAATCTGTGCAGTAAAAGGCTATTTCAGTTTAAACAACAAAATGTCATTTAAGAGGGAGAACGTTACTTAGGATTTAGATTAAGGCAGACACATTTGAACATTTGCAAAGAGGGGTCACGTATTTCTGCGACTTAAAGCGAATGTGCCCGTCCTGCTGGCGGGGCAGCAGGGGCTCCACGCACCTGTTTGGGAAACGCTCGAGCGCCCCGTGGCCGCCCTTTGTGACAGAGAGCTGTCCCAGTGGCTTCCATCTGGCTTTTCCTGGGGACTTGGGATTGTGGTTCCCACTTATTCAGTGACTAGTAGCATTCTGATTTCTCTTTTTTTGATAGAAAAGGTGCCTCCACGAAATGCGGGAAGTGTTTCATTGGTGCAGACTCCTGGTCTCAGCCCACAGACCCCAGTGTCCATGCGCGTCCCTGCGGCCTCCTTTTTGTTTTCCTCCCCCTTTAGTAATTGGGTGAAGAACATGCAGATGCTAGGAACTGCACATGGAAGATGAAGTGTTGCTGATGTCATGACATATATACTAATCCTCATAATGATCCGCATGTGCCAGACAGTCCTTCGTCCTGAGTCAACAGTTACCAGCCTTCCGGGCAGGACTGTCTCCAGTGGAATTCTGTGTCCCCTTCGTGAAGCTCTGGTTTTTGCCATCAGAAGCGTGAAATCGTGTGTGTATGTTGTCAAGACATTGCAGAGGGAGATGAAGGAAGAGCCTGCCACGTCACAGAGCCTTTGGTGGTTCTTCTGGGTGCCAAGGCCATCGCATCCACCCACTGTAGCCGCCTGCGGCCCCTGGCTCCTAGGTCACTGCCCACCGGTGTAGCCGACATTGTGTGTTCTTGTCCCTGCTGAGCCCTGAGGGCAAGCCTGTCTGGTGACCTGACCCAGGCCGGCCCAGGGCATCTCCTGACCCAGGTCCTTTGTGCAATTTGCAAACTGTGCCACAGGCCAGAAACTGTCCCACCCTATTCCTGTTGGTAAAGGTGCCCATGTGGTTCCCTGAACTTGTGTTGTTATCCTTCCACTCCAGCGAGGGTGTGCTGTCTTGCAGAGATGCCGCGGAATGTATGTGAGAGCATCTGCCGGGGGGGCCATGGGGGCGGATGGCATCCTGGCCGCCTTGGCCGTCTGATCATCTGATGGCAGCGCCTGCACTGGGGTCGGGCTCCACTCCGCCCTGCACACGTGGCATGTGGCCTGCTTCCCGCCCCTTGTAGGCAGGGCTTGCTCTGAGGCCTGTCCCCCGGCCCTGACCTCGCTCCGGGTGCCTTGTCCCCACGAGCCTGCGCACAGGGGGCTGGTGTTCAGGGACAGGAGAGATTCCATGCTGTGTTTGATGAGAAATGAAAATCGCCTTAGTGAACTCCTGGTAAACATTTTTGAAAGGAGAGTAAAGAGCCAGCCAGGAGCAGTTTATTTAACTAGCTGGCACCAAATATGGGTGCTTTTCCCACATGGCTTAAATAAGTGTTCTGGTCAGGATTTTTCCTCCTTTTAGAGAACACGCCCCGTGCCAGAGATCGTGTTTTATGTCACAGCTGGGAACAGTGGGCTATAGTCGCTCCCAGATGCTGGACGCACCCATCGAGTGGGGCAGCTGCTGGCCGCACTGCAGGTCATTCACCCTGTCTGAGACCCTGCCTGGTGCTCTCCCCACTGGGAAGTGTGCATGCAGGCCGGCCACCCCGTGCCTAGTCCCCCACCACTGGCTCTCCAGCTCCGCCTGTACCCTTGCCTGTGAATCCTGGCCGCAGCCGCTTTCCATCAGACTGCTCAGCCATTGTCTCCAGAGCAGCCATGTCTCCACGGCAGCCCATGTGTGTCGATGGCACGCTGACCACTGGGCACTGGCAGCAGCAGGAAACTGAGGCTCAGGCTCGGCCCCAGGTGCTCACGTCGGGGGTAGATAGAGTCGCTTTGTGTGGGGGCCTGTCTCTGGGATGATGTGTTTGGGGATGGGATAGTAATTTTGCAGGTTTTGGTAAATTCTTCAGAGCCAGCCGGTGCTGCCCTGTGTCCGGGGGTGCCTGGGAGAGGGAGGAGAGCACAAAGCCAGGAGGAGCACAGCGGCAGCACGGGAGGTGCAGTGGGTGCGGCAGGCGGGCCGGGCCGGGGAACACACAGCCTCTCGGCCTCCAAGAGTCCCAGTCCCCAGCGTGCTCCCATTGCACCTGCACCCTCAGCCTTCTGGTGCCAGCAGCCCCCCTCACTGGCCCTCCCTGCTCCCAGGGAGCCCTTCCCCCAGCTGTGCCCCTGGGCCAGGCTCACCCCTTTTGTGGCCGTCGTGGCATGGTGGTCTTGTTGCCCCAGCAGTTTGCCCAGTCAGTGATGCACTGCCCCGCGGGCCCAGGAGGGCAGGGCCGGTGAGGGTCACCTGAGACGCCCCACATGGCTCGCTGCAGAGGGTGAGATGGGGGTTCGTGCCGTGACCAGGTGTTGTCAGGTCCCCTGTGCTGGGGGTGTGGGGCAGCCAGAGGGCAGCTGGGCAGCCCTCTTAAGACAGTCTTCCCTCACCTTCCTGGGGACCACTGGGAGGCTCCACAGGCCGCATCTTCAAGGAGATTTACTCGCTGTCATCTAGGAATAAAAGTGTGTGCAGGTTTGCTGCATTGCAGTGGGGTCAGTTCAGGCGGAAGCACAGGTGTGGGAGGACACTGGTGACCACAGAGTTGCTGCTGAGGGGCCTGGGCCTGTTGGCTGTCGTGGGGTGGGTAGCGCTGAGAGGAGGTGGGCCGTGCTGGTGCTGCCGCCGAGGGCCCGCATGGCCTGGGTGAGGTTGTCCCTGCAGTGACGTGGGCTGTGCAGGCCGTGCGGGAGACAGCCCGGTTCCCCGTGAGCACAACACGGTCAGCTCTGCTCACTCCTGGGCGGATTAGGGGTGGTGTGCAGGCACGCACATGCACACATGCTTGCACATGTGCACAGAGCACATAGGCACTCACACACACACGCACACACAGGTGCACGTCCAGGCTTGTGCCCTTTGTGGAGGCCGTGTCCGGGTGTCAGTGGTGGCTGTCCTTACTTGTGAGATTATGGCTGGTGTATTTGTTCTTTTGGGCCTTTCCAGATGCTCCACAGTCGATACGTATGACATTTTATGATTGGAAAAAAAAATGCCCCTAAAAAATGGAAGAAAGTTCTAAGAAATTCTGAATTCCTTCTAAGGAAGTTATACTAAAGGGGCAGTAGGAGACACTGGACACGGTGATGATCGGATGCATAAAGGCGGTGTGGTTCCTAGGATTTGTTAAAAAACCGGCGTTGTGAACGTGGGTTTGTCCCGACAGCCCCTTCCCCGCGGGGGTGGCGGGCCCCGTGCGGCCCAGGGGAAGCGCTGACGGCCCTGTCCTGTGCTTCCTTCCCAGATCGTCCACACACACAGGCCGCACTTCATGGCCCTGCACTGCCAGGAGTTCGGGGGGAAGAACTACGAGGCCTCCATGTCCCACGTGGACAAGTTCGTCAAGTAAGTCTGGGCGCCCGGCCTGCTGCACCCTCCCTGGGGCGGGGCGGGGCGGGGGCTCCTGGGGGACGGCGGCCGCAGCCTCACCGTTCAGTGTTCTGGGAGGCACCTTCGGTGGGCCACAGTTTTCCAAAGAGAAAGTGTAGCCCAAGTGTGTGACAGCGTGCCTCCTGGGGGGCGCAGGGTGACAGCGTGCCTCTGGGGGGCGCAGGGTGACAGTGGTACCTTGGGCTTAGAGACTTCAGCCCTGGCTTCCAGGTGGAGAGTCTCGTCCATGTTGGAGGTCATATTTCGTGTGGTCTCATGGCTGCCAGCCTGCTGCTGCTGAGGACGCATGGACGAATGGACAGACAGGACTCTTTCTGTCCAGTAGCTCACAGCTGCATTTGTCACAGTGAAGTGGGGACAGAGCTCCAGTCGCCTTTGGAAAGGGAAATCTCTGTCGTTTGGGAGGCAAGAGCCACAGGCAGCATGCCAGCTTCAGGCGCATGCCCCACGGCTCCTCAGGACAGGCCTCCTGCTGCTGCTCAGGGAGGAGGGGCACCGAGGCCTCTGCACGAGTTCCCTGCTGGAAAGCGGTGTCCCCATCTCCCTGTTGGTGGCGGCAGCTGCTGGAGCGTCCTCTCTTCCTTTTGTTGTGCGTCTGGTCCGAGTGCCTGGGGACGCCCACTCTGCCCTCAGGCACCCTGAGCCCGCCTGCTGTGTCCCCCACGCCCAGACTGGGCACTGTGGCTGCTTCTGCCAGCAGAGTGTGGAGAAGTGCCGCTTCCTGACTTGCGAGGCGGTCGTCAAGGGCCGCTGTGCTGGGAGGCAGCTAGGGCAGGTGTGGGGCCCACCATGGGACAGAGTCCGCGCCCTGTCTGCCTGGAGCCCAGCCTCAGTCCTCCTGTTGAGGTCCCCGATGTTGGCATTTGACACAAGCAATCCATCCATATTTTCACCTGTTAAATTGTGGGGTAATTTGTTAAAGGGCAAATTTTTAAAAGTAAATTCCTCATGTTTCTAAAATAATCTGTCATTTTAAGGCAATTCCAATCAAAAGTTTTCTTAACAAAATAGTACTAAAATTAATATGGAAGAGCCAAGAGTTGAGAATAGCTGAAATAATTCTGAAAAGAACCGGTGGGTGTTCTTAGCTCTGTGCTGCCGGCTTCCTGGAAGCAGTGAATGCTGCGATGGGGACGGACGCCCAGCAGAGCTACAGTCGAGCCCGCCAGAGTCAGCGGGGCGTGGCGGGTGGCGGCTGGGTCCAGGCAGCAGGACTGGTCCTGTGTGGGAAGAAAGGACGCCAGGTCCCCACTTCACGCTGCGGCTGTCCCCACGCGGGGTGAGTGCCAGTTGTGCTACTGAGTAAATGTGAAGGGCACAATTACAGTTCCGAGACGGAAATGTGGGAGATATCTTTATGTATTATTGGATATATTATATATATTAGAAATTTAATATGTATATGTTATATATAGTGTATCTTTATAGCTTTGGGATAGGAAGAGGTTTCTTTAAAAATGTGCTGAAAGTATGGCCTGCGAAAGAATAGGTCGATAAACCTGACCATGTTAAAATTAAGAGCTCCTTGTATCAAAAGACTATAAACAAAGTAAAAATTTAGTCCAACTTGGGAAAAAGTACTTTACTGACCAAAATCGGTCTTTAAATGTGTAAAGAACTCCAGGAAGTCAATAGGGAAAAAACACCACTGGAAAAGCCGGCATTTCACGGAGGAGAGAAGCCGGGTGGAAGGCGGTCTGCTCTGTGTCCGGCAGAGCTGCACGGCTCCTGTCCCCCACGGGCTCCGCCACGCTTTCTGCTCCCCGCCGTCCTTGTGCTGTGCTAGATTTTCCTCCTACCCGTGCTGCACACGTCACACCTTGTTGTCATTTTCGCTTTAGACAGTCTGTTATCTTTTAAAAAGTAAGAGAAAATGTTATTTGTTTTTGCCAGCTCATCTGTCATTTCCGTGCTCTTCCGTTCTTTGTGTTGGTTCGGGTTTCTGTCTGCTGTCATTTTCCTTCAGCCTGAGGGCGTCTTTACCATCTATCTCCACACAAATCGCTGCTGATGGCTTCCCTCAGCTTTTGTTTGTCTGAAAAAAGTCTTTGTCTTCACTTTTGAAAGACATTTTTGTGGTAAATAGAATTCTAGCTTGTCAATTTTTTTCTTTTAGTACTTTAAGGATATTGTTCCATTGTCTTCTGTATTGCATTGTTTCTGATGAGAATCTCGCCATTGTTCCGATCTTAATTTTCTGTATATAATGTCTTTTTTTTCCCCCAACTGCTAGATTTTGTCTTTCTAGCTGGTTTGCAGCAACTTGATTATATTGTCTTTAGTTTGATTCTCTTTGTGTGTATTTTACTTGGAGTTCTTTTGAGCTTTTTCAATCTGTATGTTTATAATTTTAATCAAATTTGCAAAAAGTTTGTCCACTGCTTCTTTAAATATTGTTTTTCTTTTCCTTCCCTTCTCTTGTGTCCTCAGACTCCGGTTTCCTAACGTTGGATCGATGCTGTCGCTCGGGTCCCTAAGCCCTTTTAATTCTTTTCAGTTCGTTTTTCCTCTTTCTTCAGTTTGGATAGTTTCTGTTGCTGATCTTTGAGTCCCTGATCTTTTCTTTTTTAGGTTTTAATCTACTGTTAGGTCCAGCCAGTGAATTTGTTTCTGCAAATTATTATATAAATTTATTTAAAATTACTATATTTATTTAAAATAAATTTATATAAAATTACTATATAAATTATGTAATATAAATATTATGTTGCCAGCTCTAGAAGTTTCGTGTATGGTTCGATGTCGTCTGTCTTCCCTCCTTGTGTTCATATTTTCATTTAAGTCTTTGATCATGTCTATAATGCTGCTTCAAGGTTCTTGTCAGTGAATTGCCTTATTTTTGTCCTTTCTCGTCTGTTTCTGTTGACTGCGTTTTTGTAGACATGTCATATTTTGTTGCTTCTTCGTGTGTCAGGTAATTGTTGACATGGTGCAGACGTCGTGAAGGGTGTGTCATTGTGTCTGCATCTTGTTTCTTCCCTTGAAGCGTATTGGGGTTTGTTCCTTCAGGCAGTCAGGGTCTTGAGGCTCAGGTTGATCCTTCAGGCTCCTTCCCTCCCTCCTTCCTTCTCTCCCTCCTCTCTTCCTTCCACAGTCGGTCGGTGGTGTTTTCAGGGTGATGGGAAACTTGGTGTCCAAGCTAACATCCTGTGCCTCGTAAACAAATGCCTGTAAAATGATGAGGTGTCTGTGTGACTTTTGCATTAAAGAACTCACTTGTTTCCTTCCAGAGAACTACTGTCCAGTGATGCAATGAAAGAATACAACAGGGCTCGAGTCTACCTGGATGAGAACTACAAATCCCAGGAGCATTTTACAGTAAGTGTTCTTCCGTTCCATGGATCAGCATTAGAAAAATGGAGCGTCTGCTGAAGCCACCCTTCTTCTAATTAAGTAAAGAGAGTCTGTGGACGGCTCTCTGTCACAGCGTAATGCCATCATGCCTGAATTAAAATGTCACTGCGTTCCTGCGGCCTGTTGGGTGGTCCAAGTCCACGGCTCACCTGGCAGGAACGTGGGCACGGTGCAGATGGGGGGCCTCGGCTGCTCCTGGAAGGCACCTTGATTGGCTTGTCATCAGCTAGCATGACAAGGCCTGCATGGGAGTTGGAAGGTGGACAGCCAAGGACCCCAGGGCTTTGGCATGCGGGAAGATAATAGGGAGAGTCGGGGGCTCCAAGCCTCACAGAGACGAGGGATTAAACCAGCCGTGGATCTGCTCTGCAGAGGAGCCTGTGCCACCAGGCTTGCTCCTGTACTCAGCCAGTCCTGGAAGCCCTGGACAGACCTCCAGAGGGGCCGGGCTGCCTCCAGGGGCATGGGTCTCTCTCCAGAGGGGCTAGGCTGCCTGCAGGCGGGTGGGTCTCTCTCCAGAGGGGCCAGGCTGCCTCCAGGGGAATGGGTCTCTCTTCAGAGGGGCCGGGCTGCCTCCAGAGGGACAGGTCTCTCTCCAGAGGGACCAGGTGACCTCCAGAAGGGCTGGCCATAGCGGAGTGGGACAGAGCCCCCCACAGAGCTAGGTGAGACCTGTCCCTCCTCCTCAAGAGTCCTTGTTCTGACATGGACAGTGGACCCTGGGAAGGCGGCCCGAGGGAGGTGTGACAGCCACAGGATGGACGAGGGGCAGAGGCAGGACTCAGAGCCTTCTTGGAGAAGCAGATGTTGAACGGGTTTGCACAGCTGGTTGTGTGTTTGGAGGATCGTGTCTGAAGCGCCGTGTCTTGAGGGAAGCCCTGAAGCTGCTGCGCTGGCCTGGTTTCCTCTGCTGTCTGTCCCCTGGCATCCTTCCCCTCCCTCTGTCCCATCGCTACAAGTACAGGTGCCTGTTTGATGGTCTTCTCCACGATGCACGATGTTGTCTGCAGGCAGCAGCGGTGTGGGTCCTGCCCTCAGCTTGTCCCCTGGCCCTGGGAGCCTGGTGTGCAGCAGGCACTCAGCCACCATTTGCCGGCTGCTTGGAGCACTGGATGCCCATGTGCTGAGGCAGAGGCTGGGGCCGCGGAGAGCGTCCTGTGCAGGGAGCAGCAGGAGCAAAGATGCCACCTCCCCAGGGCTGCAACCTTGAGATCGTCCTTCGGGTTAGCCAGGCGCCTGTCAGTTTTCAGTCTTTAAATCTGGGGCATCTAATGCCAGTTAAGTCATGTCTTTCCATTGCTGAGAGTCACATGACTGCAGGTTCATGTCCCACCCTCAGCTGCATCTGCAGGATGCTGCGTCCTGGTGTCTTTCCTCTGCTGCTCTCCTTGGCAGCTCTCTCAGACCCTGCTCCAGGCCCACCTTCCACCATTCGCAGGTCGCCTCCCTGCTGGCCTGCTGTGCTTGGTCCTCCACCCCACTGCTTGCACCGGTCTTGGCCCTTGTCCCCTGAGGTTGGGGCACAGCCCCATCCCTCTCTCCTCTGGCTTTCTACCTTTTCCATGCTGACTGCGTCCTCTCAGCTTGTCCTTTAAATAAAGATGCTTCTGTCCTGACAACCCTGCTATGACCAACTTCCTGCTGTTCTCAAGCAAGGCTTATTCAGATAAAAAAATACACTATCTGGAATTAAAAATACACTAGTTGGGGTTAACAGCAGGTTAGACACTGTAGAACAAAAGAAAAGTTAATTGAACTTGAAGACATGGCAATAGAAACTACTCAGAATAAAACAGCTAGAGGAAAAAAGTTAATAGAACATGACTTCCCTGTGATATACTATCTAGTGGTCTAACATACATGTGAACGGAGTCCCAGAAGGAGAGGGCGGAGGTGTCTCCTCGCCACTGTCACCCTCAGAGGCGTTGGTCTCTGCTCGCTCTCTCTGCTGTATCCTTGAAGCCGCCGTGTTCCAGCAGTCATTGGTCACCTCCTCCTCATGGAAACTGTCCTTGGGTCTTCACAGCCTCCTTTAAATAGAAGACACAGGTATTTTAGAAGTAAAAGGATAAAGAAAAGTATATCATGCAGACGTAAGGTAAAGGGAAGTAGGAGTGGCTGTATTAATATCAAAGTAGACTTCAGAATATTGCCAGGGATAAGGGGGGCCTCTCATAAGGATAAAGAGATCAATTCCCCCCCAGTGTCAGAACTCACATGTGCGTGAAAGCTGATGGGGCCGGAAGGAGACCTCATCTGTGGCCTACGAGGTTCCCAGGCTCTTCTTTCACTAGTTGGTGCTGTGGGTGGACAGAGTCACGCCAGCCAACGTGACCCCACTGATGTCCGGCTAGAGGAGCAGCAGGCACAGCCGTGGGAGGAGCACACCACACGCTGAGGGGCAGGGACAGGAGCGCGAGTGGACTGCTCGTCACAGGGCAGGTGCCAGAGGGCTCAACACCACGTGACTGGGAAAGGATGAGTCGGCTTCCACTCTGTTTCCTCAAAAATATCTTTCCAGAGGAAGGCAAGAGAAATTGCGATAGAGATTTTTCCAGACAGGTGAGCCTCGCTTTTAAGCTTTTGTGGACAAGTGCAGAGCAGCCTTTAGGCGGGGAGTTTAGGTCCATCTCCGAGGGCTCTGCTGAGGCCCGTGTTCCGGGCGCCTCCACCCTGGCTGCTGAGACGCAGGCCGTCTCGCAATTCGTGCGTTCACATGGACCACTCACCATGGCACATTGAAATCTGGTCCGTAAGACAAACCTCACAGGTATGAGAGTTTGAATCGTGCAAAATATCTTCTCTGACCACAAAGGAATTAAATTAGAAGTAAACAAAAACATTATCTGGAAAATTCCCAAATATTTGGAAATAACCAACTTGTAAATAACCCATGAGTCAAAGAGAATTTCACGAAGGAAATTAGAAAGTTTTTCTGATTACATGAAAAACAAACTGAAAACCTTCAAAATTTGTGAGATGCACCTAACGTAGTGCTTAGAGGGAAATTTCTAGCATTAAATGCTTACATTAGAAATTTTTAAAATGAAGAGCAAATTAACCCAAAACAAGTAGAAGGAAGGAAATAATGAGAGCAGAAGTCAGTAGAATAAAAAATAGAATGGTAGAGAAAATCAGTGAAATCAAGCTAGTTCCTTAAAATGGTCAACAAATCTGACAAACCTTCCCAGTGGGTCAGAGGATCAGAACAGGAGTGTGTCCAGGACAGAGCCCGGGGCGGGTGGGGTCGTCCAGGTGGGATTCAGGCGTTTCTCCTGGGCTGAGGGACGGCACAAATTGCCTCTCAGGTGTTTTGCACTTCAGTGCCACGCGGGGCTGGAAAGAGGACGTGCAGGGCTCTGTGTGCACCCTGGGTGGTGGAAGGGGCCTTGGCACTTGTGCCCAGAAACTGCAGCCCCGTGGAAAGGCTGGTGGCTGGAGCTGGTGTCACCTCCCCCCGCAACCGTACACAACCCTGTGGAAGTTTTCCATGTCTTTTGGAAATGCCCACTTTCCTGGTCCTCCGTGGTCTGCTTTGTGTCACATGTCGCACCTGCTGACATCGTACTTGTGTTTCTCTTCCAGCCCAAATGCTGGGCGGGCCGAGAAGAGCAGTGGTGGGTGCCGGGGAGCCTTGGGGCTGAGAGAGTCCCTTTGGCCTTGCTTCAGCCCTTGACATTTACCTCAAAAAGTCATTTCACAATTTGCAACAAAAAACAAAAGCCTGAAAAACGAGCATTCCCAAAATTCAGCAGTTTCACCAAAGAAATACACATTCTTGTAAACATTTGTGTATAAGGGTGGGCATCAAAATTACTTGATAGCAAAAGTTGGAAGTAACTTTAAATACCCGAGTTAGCGGTTTTCACACGGTGGAATAGCCGTGTGATGGAGCATCTGCAGCCGCTGCAGACGGCGTGGCACAGGGTGTCAGTGAAGTTACCGCCCCCCACCCAGGGCTCGTGGGGCACAGGGGCTGCAGCCCACACTTGCGCCCCTCGAGGATCTTGCCATCCTGTTGGTGTGTTGAAGTACTTAATGTAGTATTATGTCTAGTCTGTCCTTCGATGCATAGGTTTTCAAACTTAAAACTTCTGAAACCAGGGTGCTCCCACCATTCGTGGCACCGGGGTGCGCCCACCATTTGTGGCATCTCACGGTTAGCCTGGCAGCACTTCTCCTTCTTGGCCATAAATACAGTGATGGCACCGTAGTTGGTAACGTGGCCATTCTTCTTGGTTCCAGCCTGAGATGGCACTCATGTGGCACCTCACTGGGTGGGTCTGACCCCGGCTCAGGGGCACAGAGGGAACTGCCCAATGTGCTGTGTCAGACTCAGGGACAAGCCCAGGTCTGAAGCCCCTGAGGCTGTGTCTTCAGGTGTCCACAGGACTGGACAGTGTCTGGGAGACACTGCCCACAGAGGGCGTGAGTGGGTGCTAGGCAGCTCTCCTTCAACCCAGCGGTGCCCGTGGCCTGTCTTTCCTTTCCAGGGTCACCGTCCTCCTGGCGATCCTCTCCCACAACCATGGTCCTGTGCGAGTGTTAATGGCCAGTGGGCTAACTGGGACAGCCATATTTGGCAGGTGGAAAGGGTCAGTGATGTTCCACACTCTTTGTCTGGAGCTCATCCCAGAGTCGGCTCAGGGAGAGGTGTGCGTTTGTCATCCCCGCCTTATGACTACCACGGTAATGGTTTGCAATGAAATCCTGTTTGACCCTGGGCCCTTGGAGCACCCCTGTTGTGCCCATCCATCGCCCCTCACTGTGTCATGTGTGGAACTGTCTTTGCTGGGGGCCTCTGGACACCCTGGTCAAGGGGACCCAAGACTCCTGGGGTCCTGGGCAGGGCTGGGCAGTGCCGTGTGGCCACTCTCCCACCCCAGCCTGGTGGCCTCTGGCTGTCAGAGGGAGGAAAATTTAATTTTTACAAGATTAATGGTATTGGAGCAATATTTTTAGCT